TCTCACCAGCCTTGACAAACCTTTTCAATAAATCGCTGTCTGAAGCATCTGTCCCGAACAACTGGAAATGCTCGATAGTGAGACCGCTTCCCAAGGGTGGTGATCCGAGTAAACTAGAGAACTATAGAACGATCTGTTTGACTTCGGTATTATCCAAAGTTCTCGAGGAGGTTGTGAAAAAGTGTCTGCTATCGTTCTTCGAATCGATGAACGTATCGACGCCAACGCAACACGGCTTTACGAAAGGGCGACCTGCATCACCAACTTGATGTACGCAAACCACCAGTGGGTCCGAGCTCTCAACGAACAGAAGGATGTTGAAGTGGTGTACATAGAGTTTAGTGAGGCGTTTGACAGAGTGAATCACAAGGTACTGCTTCGTAACCTGAGGACATACGGAATCGGTGGCACGTTACTTCGGTGGTTACACGAGTTTATTGTGGGACGAAAGTTTAGGGTACAGGTCAATGACTACCTGACAGACTGGTTCCCATCGACTAGTGGCGTGCCTCAAGGAACTGTACTTGGGCCAGTATTATTTCTTATTCATATCAACAATTTACCGCAGCAGCTCCAGTCACCATGTGCCCTGTTTGCAGATGAGTTGAAAGTCTGGAGAACCATCGAGAACTAGGACCACTGCGTTCGCCTCCAGCATGACTTCGAGCAACTGTCAACGTGGTCCACTGAAATGCAACTCCCTCTTAACGCAAACAACTCGGAGTTCATAAGTATCACCAGACGTCCAGCCACTCGATCATACACCTTGGACGGCCATTTGCTCCACCCTAACACATCTGTCCGAGACTTAAGAGTTCTCTCACGACATGATATGAGATCGCTAGAAAATACAGAGAAATTGTACCATGCGGTACTTCGTATGCTCTGGGCATTAAGACGCAGTTTCTCCACATGATCCGAAGAAGCCGTCCCTCGTCTATTCACCTCGCTCATTAGACCAATCCTTGAATACGGCACCGCAGCTTACTGTCCGATAACCCAGTGGGAAACTGAAAAGCTGGAGAAAATACAGCGTATCGCAACTAGAATGATACCCAGTCTACGAAAACTTCCGTATAAAAACGTGAAAGGCTCGGACTCTGCACACAATCCTACCGTCGAGTAGGAATTGACCTTATTATGACCCATAGAGTACTACACTTGAATCACTTCCACATACTGAGGCCAATATTTCACCTGCAGGAACCCTGTAACACCCGAAGACCCCGTTACAAACTCAGGGTCCCCTGCATGAACAAAGTATCACATCAGCTTTGGATCGAACGAAGAATCGTTAACTTAAGGAATACACTACCAGAAGGATTAATAGAGAACGACTCAGTTAAGTGTTTTAAAACACGTATCGACGATTATTTCGGAAAGCTGTACTTTTGTGAAACGATGCACATACAATGCCAAAAGAAGACATCGCATGCGCGGAAATAATGACAATACAAATTCCTAACCGAACAACGATAAACGATTAAGTGACAAGACACAACCGCTGATGATTCACTGAATGTTTTTGATTTTTCGTAATTCGATAGAGTTGTACAGAAAGCTTTCTACATGCTCGAAAAATACAGCCTCAGATGTGGATTGTCTCATCTTAGACACTTGCCTTTCGACGCAAGAAGGCACCCAATATCTTCCAGTGGCCGATAGACGTGTTCATAGGTTCTAGCTCCATCGTGTAACTAGATGACAATATGATAATAAGCTGAACAGTAGAGGAGAGCTTTGTTAACAGTTCGACCAAGCGCCAGTCAGACAAACACTGAAGTCACCAAGGTAAATGCGTTTTTCACACTATCCATCGAATTTCAGGGTTTCCTCCTCGCATAGACGACGTCAGAGCAACCCAGTGAAAACTGAACTTATGTATGGAATGACTCCACCAGCACGTTGATATTTCTTTACTAATCTATCGGCCTCAGTATTCAGTACAGTACGGTCTTGCTCGAAAACGCTGCCACTGCGTCGCGCCGAATGAGCCAATAACCAAATCTCACGTCAGACAATTGGTGATGCGCTGAAAAATTAGGTCACTGTTGGTTTAAACTTGCGGCTGTTATTTCGGATCTGTCCGAGAAGTTATCCTGCGACCGACACAAGAAGTCGTAGTATCCTTACAATAATGTACGTGTATTGCAAGGAAAGAATCGCATACTCCATTTGGAATCTGATGAGGATTGTAAAAATGGCAGTCCGATCGAGAAGACATCAGTCACTAGCTAATTTAGAAAAATGCTCTGACCGATTGCAATCCGTTACTGGAAAGCACAAGTAGAAGACGAAGCTCGGCAGATGCATGCATTTCGTATTGTCTCATCAGTGCGAATAACGATAACCGGTAATTTTACACAACAGTCTTTCGGGCTAGATTACAGATTGCCTCCTAGACGATTGATAGGATTATTCATTGAGGCTCAGCTTAAAACTTTTTGATCAATTGAAGGACCTTCAACCAACTAGTACCGATAAGCTTATATGGTTTAGAAACAAACTGACTGATGTTGCCTATAAAGTAAAAAGTGCGCCAATAAAAGAGGTGCGCGCTTACGAACAGACACCTACGAGCGTTACACGAATTGCGCGATAAGAATGTCGTTGTAATGAAGCCGGATAAGGGCTCAGGAGTTGTAGTCATGAACAAAGATTAATATATCGAGAAGATGAGTGTCATACTCAGTGACATTAACAAATTTAAACGACTGGAGAAGGCAGGGGATGTGACTGTATTCGAATCCCGCATTATTCGTCACTTAGAAATGCTTCATCAGTATCACGTGCTCGACAGCGCTACTTATAACAGTTTAAAGCCGAGTGGATCAACTAGGCCACAGCTTTATGAGCTTCAAAAATGCACAAGAGCGCAGTTCCGCTCAGACCGATCCTCTCGATGACAAACGCACCCCAACATAAATTAGCTCGCTGGTTGTGTTTTCTACGCTAAAAGCTCAGCTTAATCTATATGGCCTCAAAGATCCCTTCGTGTATGTCGAAGATCTCGGTAAAATGAAGTTTTCCGATAAGGTTATGTGTTCTCTAGATGTGGAATCCTTGTTTACTAACGTACAGCTACACCAGACCGTTGAGTACATCTGCGAATTAGCAGAAAGTTCCGGATGTCCGTTGCCGATTCCGGTTGAAATCTTAAGAGAATCATTACTTCTATGCACAAAGAATGTCGATTTCCACTTCCGAAACATACCATATCGCCAAATTGATGGGGTAGCCATAGGCAGCTCACTTGGTCTCATATTAGCAGATTTCTTCATGCTGATGATAGAACGAAGCCTATCCGAAGAAATAGCGCAGTTACCCTATTACAAACGTTACATGGAGGATATCTTGGTGTTCTATTCAGAAGGAAAGCAGATCACACAGCTAGTGATGCGTTTTAACTCCTCGCATGTCACTTTGAGGGTCTCCTGCGAAGTCGAATAACAGAATTGTCTCCTATATTTGGATGTTCTTATCAGCCGCAGGGAAAACGGACTGGTAAAAAGGTCTGTCTACCGAAAAACGTAGTTGGGACAGTATCTGCACTTTACCAGCTTTACGCCAACGCCGCACAAGCGAACGCCTGTGAAGACCCTATTTAGTCGCGCCAGAGGAATATGTTCGATCGACTGTCTAGCAGATGAACTAGAACTAATTACCAACACGCTAATTCCTACCTCGAAAATTTACCCGGAAGCACAGGGAAATCCATGAAATGCAAGTTGCTGTAGCTACTGTATCTAAGAAAAAGGTATTCTTTAGAGTTACTCTTTAAAGTTGACATTGTTTCTTTGAGGATCAGATTTGCGCCATACAGAGCACTTTCTGTGCTGCCAAAGTTGTAATCATCGACCAAACTCATAAGCTATCGTTGCCTCCACTAAAGAAAACGCAGCCTATTGGGGCCAACCCCCACTGCGCATAACAATTCGTAGGTAACTGCGGGAAATAGTTACATAGGCAGAACCAATAGAACACTGAGTTCCCGAATAAAGGAACATGTACCAAAATGGGTTCAATGCGGGAGTATTCAACAAGCAAGCCCAATCAGACTAAGTGTATGCGTAGACCGCCGGCATCTTCGATCGGCAGACACTTATTGACACTGGGTCAACAAATTGAGGTCAACAAAGCGTTTAGGATCCTGCTTCGCCATACCAATTCCCGGCTACTCCGGTTTGCCGAGGCTATTGCCACTAATCGCCTTAAGCCAGTGCTTTGGGTGAAAAAAACAAGTATCGGTCAGCCTCAGACTGCCCTGGTTGTAGAAGACACTCGTTTTTTTTCTCGCGTTTGTTTGTAAGTATGTCTGTCGTTATCGGCACTAATGAGACGATAAGAAATGCATGCATCTGCCGAACTTCGTTTTCTAATTGTGCTTTTCAAGTTATTAAAGGGAAAATAATTGTTTTAAATCCGTTACTGGCTGTTTTCAGCCAGCGCAGTAATCTAAACAGTCAGGTATTCACCGATTGGACACCCATCAAATTGAGCTGTGATTTTGCGATGCATGGATGGACTGAATCAACAGGTTTATTGCACGCAGTTTCATTCCTTAATGATAAAGTAGCAAAAGCAACGGCGCGCAGGTGCAGATTCGATGGAATCCAAGCCAGACATCAGATCCCTAGTAGACAATGTATAGCAAAAATTCTTATTACTGTAATCGCCTGATGAGAAAAAGTGAATAGAGATCTCTTCGCTATTTGGACTTTTTATCTCAAAATTTAATAGCAACTATAAATGATATACGACCTAAAATTCCGACGGATCCGATGCTGAAGAAGGTTTCTCAGTTTCAACGTACCAGATCATCACGTTCGTATCCATCAGAGCAGCGTCAACAGAGTAAACATTCACTATCTACTGCATTCTAATTTCATGAAGCATTTTTGTGTCAAAATGAAGGAAAATAAATTGGCGGTTCGAAGAAAGGCGCCCGCCATCAGCAGGACGAAAATACTTGCTATGATTTAAGTTAATTGACCAAGTACCCAGAATATTTGTGTCGGAGGCTCGAAAGAACAACAGAAGTCCAAGTCTTGGTCGAACCCATACCCCCGAGTACGCGCCAACTAAGCAGGTCCCATCGGAGACCAATGCATTGTAAATGTGTACCACTCGGATGATAAATAGTCTAAGACGATCCTGATAGCAAGAAAGAAGGGCAATTATTACCAGTACGACAACAATTTATACGGATGAATAGCTGTCACGCGAACAAGCGCAGAGCGGGATGCTACCAGGGCACTCAAATCGAGGAGGGAGGGATGATCCAAAACGAAGCATTGGAGGTCAGAATTCAGGCAACCGAGCTGCTAAGCAACGAGACTTCGCGATCAGCACAATTAAAGACTTGTTTAAATGCTGTGCGGCAGAGTATATGTCGGTTTGTCCTCGTTAAAACACTTGTGACAAACTTATAAGACGAGAAAGGAAATCAGGTCGAGTTCACTGTTCGATTGTACACATCACGCAGTGGGAATTCAGGTTATAACTTCACAGGATCGGTAAATGTCTCACTAACAGGCAATAAGATGTTTCCGCTGCGCGGATGTAAAAAGAACCGGAGTTGGAAAGTGAAGTTTCCATTGTGTTAAATTTCACCAGCTGACGCTCACAATTGCACAAAAAGACGGGTAGTGAACGAGGTCTATAGATATAAGAAGAAACAGATCAAAATGGACATGAAAGATGGAGAGAGAAAGCAGCGTTCGGTTTTGGGTACGGTACGTGTGACTGTCACTGGACGCACAGTCCGTAGCGACGCAGTGGATAAAACCAGAAATGACAGTATCATGGAAAAGGTCGAAAAAATTACGTAATCGGATATACTTTTACAGATATCACAAATAGCCCATGAGAAAAACCGGTTCAATCAGAAAGCGAAGAAAATGACGCAAAGTTTGAATAATGATTAAGGTAATCTGCAGTAGGGAGAGTGGGACACTACAAACATGATATTCTGATACGCAAGAAATGCTTAAAAGCAGAAGAAAAGAGAAAGCAACACAAAGTACACAAGAGAAAATGCCCATACAAAAACGGAAAAATAACCAAATTAGCTTATGTAAACCGAGTAGTATCAAACATGCTTAGGGAGAAGCATGAGAGGACACGTGAAGTACAAAGTGGCGGAATGTGGGATGGGACTGCTGTTCCACAAGGCAAGTGGGGTGTGCAGAGACAAAGAATGCCTTCAGGTCGGCTCAGATTTCACTGACGTGGGATGCAGTACTGACAAAGACGATGAGCTGCGATTTTCAGGTTGACGGCGGGAGGAAAATGAAGGAGGACAATCACCGGGATGATGTGCATGCAGAAAACGTCGTGCTAAACAAACGGCTGTCCGATGAGACTTGCTTGTACCCAGAGCAAATCGCCTCCATTTGACCTAAAGGGATAAATGCATGGGCAGTCAACACTTTTCCATCCACCCATTACGTATATTGACCATGCAAGTGGGCATCTCAGCACATATGTCCCAATACAAAAGGTGAGAAATTTGAATTGCAAAAAAGGAACAAAAAGCATCAACGCTTCGATGGAGGGTCAAGTTGAAGGACAGGTTGTGTGGATGGATTGCGACGCGCAGTATCAAAGTGGACCGCGATTCCCATCGGGCGAGCAACACCCAATTTTCTTCCGCTTCAACAGCTCCGGTTCTAGCGATCAAATGGCCAAAATTCACTTCAATGGAAATCGTGGTCCACTTTGAGATTGTGTATCGCAACGTGTACTTCAAAATGGCCCTCAAACCACTCACTAACTGTTGTGCCAAGCGTTGCCCGTCGTGATGCGGTGGTTTAGGAGTAGTTGTTACGACTAACATCCCAATGGTCACATGTTTAATGCCTGGTATCTCCACCTGATGAGATGTAATAACATCGAAACGCGTCATGGAGTGCAGTAGTTTCAGGCCGGGCAACACCCAATTTCCTTCTACATCAACGTTTGATTGCTATGCGACCATAACCAGTCGCGCGCCAGGGTTATGGGGACACTGTGAGGTGACTTACAAATCTCCGCAGATCCGAATGTGTGACCTAGGGAATACAAGGCAGACGCCTTATTATCCACTTGGCCATTTACCGTAGGAAGAAGTGAAAATAATGTATGGTGGGTATGTGTTATCAGGCGACAGTGTAGACGGATTGACAGTAGAATGCGGTGAATATAGGAAAGGCAGATGAAAGCACACCATGGAAAGTGGTACCTAACGATCCTGATGCTTCCATGACTCAAAGCTACATTTAAAAAAACGGCCAACGACTGTGGGGACGGAGTCACTCGCCAGTATGTTGTGTGGTTACGATTAAACGTAGGTATTCCAAAATAGTAACCGAATTGCGTGAAAGACCATATGACCACGTAGAAAAGCTCAAATGAGAAAATTGCAAAATAAGAATATTCCAAACAAGACTTACGTCGTACCCAATTTGAACAACTCTACGAGTGGATAACTGTGGTTGTCGACGTGATCCAAACTTCAAAGGGAGAAGGGGGGTGGATTGATGGGAAGGATGGGTTGCGAGGTTTCTGCTTGTCGTATGACTTGTCTGTGTAGATATGGGACGGGGATAAACAGTTGAGAAGAGCTCAGGTGCAATTAGAGGTGATGGTTTTTGGGTACGCGGAGTGTTGCAGGAGGCGTCAGTTGACGCTTTGACAGCACGATTCCAAACGGTTGCTTTAGCTGTTAGAATGGCTATGCAATTGGGATCACGTGATTTTGGAGCACAAGCTGTAGAAGTCGCCAACAACCTGTTGCAAGAGGGTAACAACTCATGACGATCATTTGACAGGCGATCAGCGCTGGGGCCCTCGTTCCGCGTAGGATATTGGAATAACCGTGTGCATACAGGATGCTAAGGGAGAGAATGATGAAATAGGACAGTGAGTGCGTAATAGTCGTTGTAAATGCAGAACCGGAAAATTGGGGCGACGTGTAGATTTAACGATGATAGGTCAGTTTGTAAACGCTAGTAAGGAGGAGTTACATAGCTGGTTCTGTTGAGATGTGCGTGCAAACGCCAACAATGATGCTGCGCAGGAGAATCACTACGAAATACACAGTTAGACTTCCATATCGACAAAATAATTCGTTCGAAACTATCAGGATCTGCAAAATGGTGGTAATTAATTGACAGTTCGTCACAGTCAGCTTCCAAATCAGATAACTCTCCACACACTCAGAAAAGCATTAGACGGCCGTTTTCACCGATTGGGTCTCGTCAGCAGTGCGCATCCATCGGTCCCATCATGATCGGAATCCACATCCGCCAGCGGCTTGAACCAGCAGCCAGAAGCTTATGTCACAGGGTCACGGGCGACATAGCGCGTCTTATCCTCTACTGCCATGCAAGTGACGAAGGTTGCAGAGGACACGGTTGGCCCCGAAAGACAAGAATTTCACTGACGGTAGCTAGCGTTTAGAAACTGGTAGGGCTGATATTGTTGGATGGATGCGTACTACTGACGGCCGTCTATTGCTTTGTCGGGTATGTGGAAAACTATCTGCGTTGGAAGCTGCTGCGATGGAGTGTCAATTAATTACAGCAACAATCTCCTAGTGCATGAGTACATCAAAAATAAAAATGCTGCACATCGCCAGTCGTAAAGACTGCCTGCGTGCTTACACAGACTCGGTTCAGGAGCAAAAAGCATGATGGAAGGAAGTGGGATAATTCAGTGACTGGGGAAACTCGATCTCTTAGTGAAAGATCGCGTAGGCAATATAAGTACACGTTCAACATCTCGGGAACCGGTTTCTGGTTCGGAAGCGACATACCCACAGTTAATAAGGATGTCTGGCAAACAAGTGCCACAAGTAACACATTAACTAAACATGCCAAACAGACTGCTGAGACAAATGCAAGCAAATCGAGGTGTGAAGTTATGAAGATGATTCAAAAGTATGAGCAAAACAGAGGGGCAAGGATGGTACTGGTGCTCCGTGCCGATGTTTCGCTACCATGCAAGCAGCGATACGCAGGCTGGAACACTGTAAGAGGGAGGGATTGAAGCATGGATGTAGAGGTTGCCAGCCCACGTCTGAACCACAACAACACGGATCCCTTAGAAAGTGAATGGGTGTTGAGCACGACCCATACCGCTACCAACCAAAAAGGTGGTTTGAAGAGAAAGCAATAATCAGAGAAACAACTACTGGACTGATTGGATGACTCAAACAATGTTCAAATGCCTTTTAAAGTGGAAAGTTGTATAAGAGCAAGAACGATACAAGAAATTAAAGCGGCAAGTACCCTGAACGTATAATGGCACGGCAGTCCCTCGTGAAAATAAAGTGAAGTATGCGACGGAGCAATGCCCCTGAATACTCGGGGCTATTGGGGTAAGCAATCACTGACGTTCTTGGAAGAAAAGATAGGTTTTCAGGGATCGAAGTGCGGACAGTTAGGTGGGGGAATCGGTGTCCGCGTAGGTTAAACCTTGAAACGATGTCCGATTAGAAATCCGAAAATGCAATCAATCAATATGCCATAAGCTACTTAACATCCTAAATTGATTCCCGCTCCCTTGAGCGACAATATCGTGCAATTTAGCGGATAATGAGGGGCGATTTATCACATATAACAAATTAATCACCGGCTGCTACTGTCCCCCGCTGCCCAGTGAGGTTAAGTATGAGCTGGTAACAGTCAACTTGCGGATCCTAGCTCCAGAGGGGTCAGATGGAATACGCACTGCTGACCGTCGCAGAAAAAATGAAACGGCTGCACAGTGCTTTCCCGGACGT